CTCTCATCTTTTTAAGTGGGAGAACTTGCACAATTGGTGGCTGACTAAATACTTTTTTGCCCCACTGTAGCTCCCTCACCAATGGTCTCTCTCTCACTTCAACCCCTACTCCAACTGACATGAGAAAACATCTGGCTTCCCCAGAAGTAACCAGAGAGTTGAAATGGAAGAGCAGAGCAGCAAGATTGGCATGAAGATAGCCAGCAAGGTCATCACTGAGACCACTCTCTGCTGATGCTCGTTTTTGGGAGTGGGACCAGTGATGGACATTGATCTTTATAGTAATGTTGCTGGCAATCTTTGAGCAATCTGTCAAAAAAGGGGACCTGGATTCAGGGTGAAGCAGGAGAGAGTCCAACTGATGTTCTCCCAGTACTTCTTATCATTTCATCCTGCACCCATCCTCTGCCCCACCAAGCTATCAAACTGGCATGGTGGGAGGGGAGTTGACATGTGTTCACTGCATTCCCAGATTAATGCCACACACAGGTTTAGAATTAGCCTATTACTTGGGCTGCTTGAAAGGTGGCACAGTATTGAGGCAGAATAGAGGTCATCTGTCAGGACAAAGCGAATTACAATACGCTGGCATACTTTTGTGTTACTTCAGACTGGAGGAAAGCATATTAAAGCAGCTGCCTGGATAAGCCCTTAGAGCAGTATTTCTCAGCTTTGACAACTTTAAGATGTGTGGACTTCAACTCCCAGAATTCCCCAGCCAGCATGCTGGCGGGGGAATTCTGGGAGTTGAAGTCCACACATCTTAAAGTTGCCAAGGTTGAGAAACACTGCCTTAAAGTATCAGATTGTGATACTTTACATGAAGCTAACTATGTATTGCCTGGATAAGCCCTTAGAGCAGTATTTCTCAGCTTTGACAACTTTAAGATGTGTGGACTTCAACTCCCAGAATTCCCCAGCCAGCATGCTGGCGGGGGAATTCTGGGAGTTGAAGTCCACACATCTTAAAGTTGCCAAGGTTGAGAAACACTGCCTTAAAGTATCAGATTGTGATACTTTACATGAAGCTAACTATGTATGTTATCTTATATACAGATTTTATCTAGCTTTCTTCCAAGGTGGAAGAAGCAAACATTACTCAGCATTAATTTCTCCCAGAAACACAACAGTTTTTCTATAAACTGTAGCAAATTTCATATTGTCTCCTGTTCTCATATTCAAGAAGAATCATTATATTGCAGGCAAACCCAAAATACCAATAAATGTATGAAGAGAGGGGATTGGGGATGATTCCAAAATGTGTAAGCCCATCTCACATAACTGACATCCCATTTGCAAAGCAACTTTCAGGTATGCAATCCAGGGTACCTATTCATTTCTAATGTGTAAGTCTTACTCTGTGAGCTGACTGCAAAACTTAATTATCTAACTGCACCTAATTGCAGAGGTTTTAGTATGTTGAAACTCAAAAGGTGTAGAGAATGGAATAAAGCAATTATGACTTCCACATTTTGGCAGAAAGAGCAACACACAAATGAGATAGAAGCTATTGACCTTAAACATGATACTGGATTCATTACATTTATCAACAACCTTCTGTTTGGTAGCTCCAGCCCAATTGAGATTATTTACCATTTTGGATTAATAGCCATTCTTCTTACTCACAAACCACCTCCTGTGTTAATTTTTCCAAGTCCTCATTATGTAAAAAGAGTCAAAGAATTAGTATTTGAATGTATTTTCTTCTCACTCCCCACACTTGGCCTTTGAAAGTTGAAGCCAGTCTTCACCAACTTGATATTCTGCAAGGGAATTGGAACTACAAGTCCAAATCAGTAAATCTCATGCTAGTAGGAATTCTGGGAATTGTAGTCCCCAAACTTTTGGAGGATGGTTGATTACATCAATTGTTTGTAACCGTTTTTTTTAATTGAAAATCTCCATGAGTGCTTGGTAGACATGCAGTTTCTAACTAGTATTAATAAATTAGGGACCAAGAAATACAAATACTTTCCTACAAAGAATTCTGGAAATTGCATCTTGCTTAGGTGCTCAGATTTTGCTTTGGACCTTTTCCAGAACTTCAGACCCTAGAGTGAAAGAATGACCATTAAATCAATTTAAAGATGCAGTGTTAGATATGACCAAAGGACTCAGTATGATCAGCCATAATGTGGTTTACTCGGTTTCAGCTTAATGTGTTGTATGAATCTAACCAACTATGGCTTATTCAACACACCATGGTCAAGCAAAACATAGCTTAGAATAAAGTACAAACTCAATCATTCCATCAGTCAGTATTTATGTCTCCACAGTTTTTTCCCCTTAATATAGATGGTCTAAGCTGGTAATAAAGAGATAGAATCTTTTATTATCTGTAACATTTTGAAATAAATATTTTCATCTATGCCAAGGTCAAATTACTGCATCTTCAGTTTGCAGTGTAATATGTTCTGTCATTCAAAATAGCTAGGAGTTGGACAAATGTAAACACTGGTTAGGAATATGCTCTTGTGATAGTATTCATTCCTAGTTAAATTATTCTCTACTCCAATTCTATGCCAGGTTTTACTAACAATCACGTATTTTCAAATAAATGTTTATGGATTTACAATGTGAAGGTATTTTATCCACAGATTAGAATGAATATATAAACTCATAGCATGTTTCTTATTGACCCTGGATCCTCATCAGGAGGATCCAGATTAAATAAAGCATGTTGGGGCAGAGCTTAGAGCATAAGGAAACGTAACAGGCTCTTTGAAACTTACTCCACTACAGAATCGCCAGCTTGTTATTTAATTTCATCTCTTGATCTCCCTTGTTCCTTCTAAGATGGGATGAGTAACCAGTGGTCCATGGGCTGCGTGCAGTCCTTCGCCGCAACAGCAATGACCTGCAGAACTCTGCCTTCTTTTCCCATTGGCCAATTGCTCAGAATCTGACTTCATATTGCCAAGGGGCAGTAGCATCAGGAAACCTTTGGTGATTGTGGGGAGAGAGACCAACTAGATTTACCATTGCCATTCTAGTGATTTGGCTTTAAATCACTGGATTAAAACTAATAACCTGCAAGAATTTTGCTGGGAGGATAGAAAATAGGGTTGCATCCTCCTCTCCCGCCTTCCTCTAACTTTGCTGAGAATTACTGGGAAGGGCTGAAATGGCTCTCACTCTGTTCCAGTGACTGCTTGAAAGACTAGTTCCTTACAGCAAACTAATTTCATGGCTTCCCCCTCCCTTTCAGTGATCTGATTAAGATTGCTAGAAAGAGACTGAGTATGATGCATATGAGAAAAAAGTAACATACAGGAGAGAAAGAGTGTGGTGTGCCCTCCTTTCATCCTGGCACATTATATAGTCCTTGGAACTGAAATGGTTTCCCATCCTTGCTCTAAGAGCCCAAATTACTGTTCATTTTTCATTCTCACAATAATCCTGTGAAGTAAGATAGTAGGAAGGGTAATGACTGACCAAGATCACTCTTTGTAGTTGACTGAGAATTGGTGTGAGCATAATGCTGCAATTATTCAATAAAAGCCTTGTACTCTTTGTTCCAGTGTTCTGAACTCAGCTTGATTAAGCTCTGCAAAGAAGCATATTGTCAGATGTAAAATATGGTTGCAGTGAAAAGCATTTCTGATGTTCTCAAAGACCCACCAATTTGATCAACTTTTCCCATTAGCAGGTAAGAAGGAAAGGGGTTCCACCGGAGCCAGGGGGAGGTGAGAAGATTCAGCCTCTCGATACTATATTTCACTGGCTGCTGGTAGATTGTCAGAATAAGAGACGGAGGATTACATTTGCCAGTTCTGTAGATGAAAGGTTCCTTACATGAAAGATTAGATAAGCTATAAATACAAATCATCATTCTGTTCCTCTTCCTCCTCCTTTTTGGTTGCTACAGCAAAAAAAATGCAGGAATGCTGAAAAACTGATTATTCTCAGTGATCTTAGATATTGCCATCTTATAATCATAAAGCTGGAAGGGACCACTGAGTCTAAATCCCCGCTTTATTTGCAGAAGTCCAAATAAAAACATCCCAGGCAGATACTGGCATTCCATTGGCATTTGGCTTCCTGTAACTTAATCCATTATTCTGTGCCCTGCATTCTAGAGTGAGAGAGAAGTGGCTTTAACCTCCTTCTTTGTGACCCTCTTTCTGATATCTGAAGAATGCTATCATGCCTCTCTCAGTCATCTTTTCTCAAAGCTAAACATACCCAATTCCTTCCATGTCTCTTCACAGAACCTAATTTCTAGTCCCTGATCATCTTCTCAGAGACCACCTTTTAATACATTTCACATATGTTCCTTCAACAATTAGGGGCACTGAGCATAAGCTATTCGAATGATCACAATCCCCCACCTACCCTGTGTAGAAAAATGTCTATTTATGGAAATGTATCCTTCTTACAGTGTTTTAAATATGCTTTGTTTTATGGTCAACTTAACACAGCAACCCCTGAGATGAGGAAAAGCATCATTCACTGAAAATCAAAAATAAAAAGCACGTACAGAATTTTTCTGTTGCCAAAAATAATTTAATAAAGTCAAACTCAGTTGGACAATTGACAGCATTTCTTTTTCCTCTACTTACTTTCACAAAGGATCTTAAGTGGAAATATAAAAGATAGAGGGGGAAAACATCTAAAGTGTTACCAAGAACAGAGTGTTTCATAGCACCCCAAGAAGAGTTCGTTACTGACAGCCTTTAATTTATTTTTTATTCATTCATTCAACTTATATGACCGCCCATCTCAAATACATGACTCTGGGCAGCTAACTTGGCTCTTTGCAAGGGAAATTCTGTAAACGTTTTTATTGTGTTTGCTGAGATGAACAATTTATATTAAAGCTTACAGCTACCCAGGCTAACGGCAAACAAACATTCCCAATGTAGTAGAAGTCGTTTGAACATACATGAGTTGCATTCCATGCACATATTTCAAACAAAGACAATCTGCATTAAAACCAATTCTACCATACCCTGGAACAGACTTTGGCAAACCTGGAACCTTCCATATGTATTGAACTACAGCTCACATAACTTTTAGCTGTGCTGGCTGAAGACAATGAGAGCCATAGTCTAACATTTCAAGGATGCCGGCTGCTTCAGAGTATTGGCCCATCTTCACCTCCAGCCAGCCAAGAAATCCATATAGACTAGGTCTCACGTTTTGATTCAAGGATGCGATTATAAAGTTTCCTGTTCTCTCATGGCGATAATATGCAGGAAGGGGGGTCTCTCTAGCTCCCTCCCATCAAGCTAACCAGAAGTGAGAAAAATTATTTGTGTCCCAAAATCTGGAAAAGCTTCTTTATCTAGGGAAGGGCTAGAATTCAGAACATGTTGCTTTCATGATGAAATCAAACCATTTAAGCATTATTTTTAAGAAAGTACTTTAGTGTTAAAAACAAAAGTCAAAGGTTGAAGGCATCATTCTTCAAGGTAAGCCACAGAAGAATTGATGGCACAACTTAATGGAAAGGAGCAAGAAAGGAAAAATAAAGGAAAATTTGCATTCTGCTCCTGAGGTTGATTTCTAATTTAAAAATGAAGAAGAAAAGTCCCTCTTCCCAATATGTTGGGAAAGGATTTTTTTTTTAAAAAGCCCATAAATTAGGCTATTGTATATAGAAGAACAGTGGAATAGAGCAGCACTACAGGAAGAGAATACACAAACAGCAAAGCAACACAATTAAGAGACTCTTAAGTTATCAAGAATGTTTCATTTAACAGCAGCCACAACATGATTTTAAAAATCTACCTAAACACATACATTTTAAAAAGAAACTAATCATTAAGTACATATAAAGATGTTTTTGAAAAACAAAAACAAGAATTTCTTCCCCTCAAATTCACAGTTAACTTAGTGTTCTTTCTATCTCAACCTCAATAGCAACAAAATAATTCAGGGTCAAGGTGACATCCAACTCAGCAGGTAAAAAGTAGTTTTCAAAATTGGGTTGAGGATCCCAGCATCCTAAAGAAACTCATTTTGTACTTTTAACCCAATGAATGGTTCTCAAGGGCTGGATTTGCACAACAAACTTTACTTCATTTTTAAATGAACCAATTTTCCGAGTTCCCACAATATACTGAACCATGAACTAAAAGGGCTATGTTTGCACAACACATTGACCCACAAAAATGAAGCTTCAGCTACATGCATGCAATAGCACAATGCACTTTCAGAAAAGGATGACACTGTGATGCTTTCATCATCCACAGACATGTTTGAATCTGGATAAGTATGTTGTGTGAAGCCAACTCCTAAGGCAGTGTTGTCCAAACTTGGCCACTTTAAGATGAGTGGACTTCAACTCCCAGAATTCCCAAAATGTGCATAGCTCCCAATTCTGGGAGTTGAAGTCCA